TTTAAGATGTAAGTAGAAAGAGAAAAGATGGGGGGGGGTGAGGAAACATGAGCTACAATATTTAATTATGGTTCTCTTGCACCTGTCTTACGTCCCATGACCTGTAGGAATACTCAACAACGAAGTGTACAAAAACGTGAGGGCCATCTGCACGTAACAGCCAGCACTCAGACGTGTACATCAATTAGCGGTTGATACTAAAGGGCAATTTACAGGGTGTCCAGGTGATGGTTATCATACTAAAAGGACCTGAACATAAAACCTAATTGTATTTATTTAATATTTCACCTTACCATCATTTTGATAAAAGTAAACGCCAATATAACAAAGACGCAAAGGCAAGATCTAAGTACATGCGGCACAATAAAACCCGTTCCCGGGCTCACAAAGCGGTGCCACGTTCACACGTTCCTTGCATGCACCGTGTCGCCTGGATTCCCAACGCCGTCCAGCAAGAGCAATCTCCGTGGCTCCCCGGACACCAGGGCCACAGTGTCTGTGTAATTAGGGCTTGAGATCACACGGATTCAAAGTGCTGCTGCGGGTCTCATCTTCTAGGCGGATTGCAAAATACCCCGTTCCGAGTAATTTTGTCTGGTCAATTTCCTTCAAATCAAATGAACGAAAGAGAAGCTGGGTAGCACCAGTGCCATAGAGCGTAACTCGCATTTCCTAGAGTTCTTAAATAAAGGAATCGGAATATTGGAGCTGGGCTGTTTGCATGTACACTTTAGCTCAGATCAACTGTACTTTGGTGGAAAGTTCCTCCAACCGGTAAGGACATTTTCTTCTTCTCTAAGGAGTCACTGTACCCATAAAACACTATGTGTAAGGCCACAGCAAAAGAAGTCGACTGATGACTGACGAAACGGCTGGGTTTGAGTGCTTACATTACCTTTTTTTGGTGTTTGAGGTACAAACAGGCAACTAAGCAGTTTGCTCTCGGTAAAGCGAGGGCCCCCAAAGACGCAGACGCTCAGATCCGACAGCAGCTCACCGCTCACCGGGTACCTATCAGGTATTTTAAATTATTCTCTGGGGCACATCCTTCACAAGTCACACTACCGACATAAATGACTCGTTCTACTTAACCAAAATTTTGATTCCTTGGGCCACAGCCTTAAAGGAATGGTTGCCTGGAATTTCCCTCGAAAATGCTATGAAAAACTTAAATGCAAATCCCTTCCCCACCCATTTAAGAAGCCCCCATTCAACCAGTTCTGATTCGTAACAATTCTTAAATCTAAAGGGCCTGATTACAGACTTGTAATTTTTTCTTTTCGTGGCCGAATAATGTGCCAAATTGACTAAAAGTAGAGTTATTGTGAAAAACATCGTTGAACGCTGAAAAGAAGACTGTAAAATCACCTAGAAAGTGGTGATCTGAACACCAACAATATAAATATTTTAATAAAAAACAGTATAAAAATTAGTACCCTGTCTCATTTCTATAAAACACGAATAGAAAGGCTGTAAAAATCCAGATTTTGTAAACTTTATTGCCAAAATGTCTATTTGAATGCTGGTGATTCCGATGATCAAATTTTCTTCCATTTCCTCAACAAAACAAAACAAAACAAAACTTCTGAAACTACGAAACGTTATCGAACAGGGTCCCAACCGAAAAAGGAAAAGTTAACATACTTTCATCAGAACCAGCTCCCCACTTTCTCCTAGCCCCCCCACAAGAAAAAAAAATTTTTTTTGGGGGGGGGAGGGACAGTTCCATTCCTGAAAAATGCTTTTTAAAATTCGCACTGGCAATTCCCTGGCTGACCTCTCAGGCAGAGGCTGGCAGGCCCACTAGCGGGCTCCCGCATTTCTCGGCCGAGGCGATTCCGTTCAGCTTGCCAACCTCTGCCTGCCAGCCAGGGGTCTTCCTGGCGGTCATGTGGCGCCGGGCGTGCTTCGTCAGGTGGTCACTGCGCATGAAACGCCGATCACACACGGGGCACACAAACTTCTTCTCCCCGGTGTGAGTTCTGCGGTGGCGAGAAAGTTCATCAGAACGGGCAAATTTTTTATCACAGCCATCCCAGCTACAGTTAAAAGGCTTCTCTCCTAAGAGGCAGGAAAACACACATTAAAGAAGACGTAAATGCTCAGCGGCTTTACTGGACAGGTTAATTCATGTCACTTTTAAATTCTGTTCATCGAAATCTAAGAAAGTAGTATCGTCTTATTCTGGTACTGAGTTATTCAAATGTCAAGAATTCTTCCAAAATGCATTTCTTTTTGCCACACCCAAAGTACAGAATATATACGTCAAGGCCCGGAGATGTCAAACTAATGTCACATTTCGCAAGAAATTTTTTCAAAGTTTATTTATTTTGAGAGAGAGAGAGAGAGAGGGGGAGAGAAGGGGGGAAGAGGCAGAGAGAGAGGGACAGAGAGAGAATCCCAAACAGGCTCTGCATTGTCAGCAGCGTGAGCCCGATGTGGGGCTTGAACCCATAAACCACCATATCATAACCTGAGCTTGAAATCAATGCTCCAGCAACTGAGCCACCCAGGTGCCCCAAAATACACCCAGGTGTTTTTTAAACAAAAATAAATCTTTCATTGGTATAGCCTAGGGTAGGGGGAAGATTCTTGAAAGAACAATTCCTTCCCTGAAAAGCAGAGCCCCTTAGAGGCACCCATTCACTCCAATACAGCCAGGACGCTCATGCCTCAATTCTAAACCCTGCTTCATCCTGCTAGTCGGAGCTGCCGATATTCGAGCTCTGATGTGCTAACCAAAACCCGCCTACCTGAAATGCATTGTGGAAAACAATACAATGATCGCTCCTTCCAGTTCAGCCTTTCCTACACTGTGTTCCACAACCCGCTATCGTCCTACAAGCCATCAGCAGACATTTCGGTGGAAGGGAGTTCCAAGATCAGGGGTTTATACTACAGACCCTGCGGGACCGGTTATTGCACCGACATTTATGTAAGAGTGCGACCCTCCGAAAGGGGAGCTTAACAAGCAGACTATTTAACCACAGGAGCCTCACAAGCAAAACAGAACACCAACTCAAGGAACAAGAGTGCCACAGAACATCAGAGATATTCTTTTTTTTTTTTTTTTTTTTAATTTTTTTTTTTTCAACGTTTATTTATTTTTTTGGGGACAGAGAGAGACAGAGCATGAATGGGGGAGGGGCAGAGAGAGAGGGAGACACAGAATCGGAAACAGGCTCCAGGCTCTGAGCCATCAAGCCCAGAGCCTGATGCGGGGCTCGAACTCACGGACCGTGAGATCGTGACCTGGCTGAAGTCGGACGCTTAACCGACTGCGCCACCCAGGCGCCCCAGAGATATTCTAACCTAATCTACTAAAGCTGAAACTCTACCAGGCAGCTCTCAGACCTCAGTCAAACGCGAAGGCCACCAGCCCCATGTAGCTATGTAAGTATAAACTTAATGAAAAATTTACTTCCTCGGTCCCACTGTCCGCATTTCAAGCACGTGTGGCCAGTGGCTACCTTAACTGGGCAGAGAACACTTCCCCCGTTGCCAAAAATTCTACTGGACCGAGCCGATGAGACAATAAAGATGTCACCAAGTCATCAGAGTCTCGGAGTTCTTCCGAACAAAAAACTGTATGTTCCCCCAAATGAGAAAACTCCATGCCCTTAAAGGTCACGCATTTTTGAATTCAAACTTTTCCATACTTTAGAGAGACCCTTCCCCAGAGGGAACCGAAACAAGTTACGCTGATGTTTACGGAATGCGAAATTCACGTTTTCTAAAATGCTGAAAGAAAGACTGAGGAGTTTCCGGCAACGTGAAGAGAAAGGGACAGTACGAGCACCACCCGAGAAACCTGTCAAAGAACCGCGATCCCAGAACCACACGTTCTATGTGCGGGGATGAGCGGACGGCATGTTCCAGAAAAACCACCGATGGTTATGCTAACGTGAGCCCCGATCCCTACGAGACCACGAGGGTTTTTCAGAGGAAACAGGCCAGATTTCCTCTCCTCCCGGTGGTTTTCACGTGTCCCTCCCACCGGAGGCGGGCTCAGGCGTGTCTCCTGAACACGGGACCCGGCGTCCTCACACCCGTCAGTACTCACCCGTGTGAGTGCGGAGATGCGCCTTGAGGTGGGAACTTTTGAAGTAGGTTTTCCGGCAGCCTGGGACGCTGCAAACGTAATTTCTCCTTCGGGAGAAGTCTACCTGAGGGGCACAGTTCTGACCGGAGGCGACGAACACGGGAGCAGGGGCCAGGGGCAGGAACCTTGTACTGCCCACGGCCGTCCCGCCGGGCGAGGCGGCGGCAGGCGGGCGCAGGGGCCCCTGGGGCACAACGAACATCACGGCTCCCTGAGGCACAGGCGGCCCCACGAACACAGGCTGGGGCACCGGAGCAGCGTGGGGCAGGATGGGTTTCACGGTCCCCACAGACACCTGGGGAGGAGGCTTCAGAAAAGCCGGTAACGTGCCACTCTGTCCAGTCACAGGGATCATTTGGCAAAAGACGGGGGAACCGGGGACAGGGACAGAGATCACAGGGGTGGCTTTCTTCGGCAAGTCACTTTCATAATTCTTTGGTGAGCAGGTCTGAACTGCGACAGGCCACACTGCCTGCTGGCCTCTGTCCGTGGGGATCAGGCCACCAGACTCGTGCAAGCAAGGCTGAGAGGACAATGAGTCAGTGTTCAGTACGTTGTCCGTGAGTCGTGTGCCCAGCAAAGCTTCGATGTGTCCCAGAAACCGTGCTCCTCCTTCTCTGCTGCCGGAAAGTTGGTGCTCTTGAACCTGGGCAGTAGGAATGTGGCCAGGAGCAGGACTCCCCCCGGTGTGGCGGATGACACTCGTCACCACGGGCCTGCAGGAGGGGCCGGGGTCTGGCCCCAGTGGCTCTGGCTTCACACCAGGAAGGCCCCTCTCCGCCTTCCCGCTCAGCACTTGGGCTGCCTCGGCAGAGGCCGGGGGCACGGCCGTGACCAGGCACGCTTTGGAATCAGTTACTTGGGAAGCAACAAGCGTCCCTGTCGATGGCTCCACAAGATCAGGGCTCTGAGGAGGAGTCATGCACTTAAAAAAAAAGCACTGCGTGAAAAGGTTGTTTTGGTTACATTTTAAAGGGGACTTACTTTGATCACGCTGTCCCCAAGGCCTTCAAAGAGTATCTAGAAAAAATTCATCCAAGCCCGCTCACAACGGCACCCAGCACGTTTCAAGGCAACGTGACATACCTTACTTTCTAGGCTTCTTCCCCCTTATCGGACCTCTCCCAAACCAATCAGTTTGCTTAGTTTTAAGAATGTCAGTGTCCTGGGGCACGTGGGTGGCTCAG